CATGCATGAGCATGTGTCTTCACCTGTGCATGTGTACACTCGTCTAGGTTTACGATGTTATTTGTTCCATTTTCAGTCTATTTTAAATATCAGTTCAAAATATGATTTATAATAGTAACCTTACTGTGATCTTTGCTGGTGTCTAGGCCTTGTGTCTTAAGTCAAAAACGAATGGAGTGTTGCATTTTTTTTGCTGTGCTTCAATGTTTGTCACCTGCAATTCCTCCAATATAATGAAAAGTAGGATTCTAATGTGGTACTTCAGAGTGTAAAATTTAAAGATAAAATTTCTAGGTATTTTTCAAAGTTTGTGAACTGTACACTGCAGTTTAAAAGGATGAAACTCCCACACCTGATAGTAAAAATCAACAGATTATCCCAAAATACCATATATTGCATTTGTTTTCAGTTCAGATTAAAACCTTCACAGTATAAAATCAGTGATCTAATAACTTTCTATTTTTCAGAAAGGGTATTTTTTACCAAGGAAAGACAAGAATGAATAATATACTGTCATCTGAAATACATAGCATGAATACAGGATCTTAAGTCAGACCAGGTGGCTGCAGATAAGAATATCAGACAAAACTCAGCCAACTCTTTCCAATTCTTTTATGGATCCATAAAAGATCCCTTTTTTCTGTGGGTAACTGCATCCTCCTTGCCAGTTGTACAATAAGCTTGCTTCTAAAAGCCAAGGTCTCCTTTCCAAAGAAATTATTACCATCTTGACACAAGAGTGCCAGGGAGGAGTGAGGCTGGTGGTGCCCTGATGACCCTAACAGGGACTGCTTGGAGCAGAATGTCTCTCCCCTCCTTAACCACAGGGGACCCCACTGCCCCTAATGGGGGTGTGTCTTCTCTGGAAACCATCAGATGCTTTGAAAGGGAGCCCTTACAGTGAAGGTGGGAGTGATTCAATCCCCTTGAGGGTATTAAGAGAAACATAAAGTTATTTTTGTGTATTGTTTCTGCACAAAATTTTTGCTGTGAAAATTAAAATAGGTTTTAATCTTAAGAGTACTTATGTCTCTTCAAAAGGTACCCTTTGCTTCAGCTCTACTCAGCTGAAAGAGGTATGTGGGTAAAGAGTTTACAGTAGGAAGAAAAGTGTGAGTGTGTGATGTAAAACAGTGGCTGCAGAAGAAAGGGAAAAATACGTGCAGAGAAATAAAGGGCTTGAGAGAGAGGAAGTGAGGGGTGTCTGCTTCAACTGCTTTGCTATGCCCTGATAAGACAAAAGGGATGTATTAAATCCAGACTTAAGTAGTGTTGTACTCCTCAGCTGGTTTCATTTTTTGAGTAGGTTAAAATCATCATAACGTTCTGATAATATTGGTATAAAACTGTTGCAACCTTAAGAAAAAGGGGGGGAGGTATTTTTTAGAAATACTCTGAATAATGCTGCCTTTGTGCAGTGTTTGTTGTTTATCTGTCAAATGTTTAAAATAAAAAAATATACCACTACGTGCGAAGAGCATTACATTCAGAAATTGCCACATGTTGTCAATGTAGAGTGCTATAAAAACATCATGTTAGCAAACAACATCAGTTTGTAAATGCAGACACAAAGCAACGTGGTAATAAAAAGACAAAGAATCACCTGAAGACATGGAGTACATACGGGGAAAAAATAGTGTTATTCTTTTCAATAACAATATAATAACAATATCAGCTCCAAAATGAGAAAAGTGTCTAAAAACGTGGCTTAACTTCATCTGTACCCATGTCCTGCAAAATGTTTTCATTGTGTTAGCATTGTGTGCTGACGATGGTAACAGGGCTTGTGAACTGTCTTCCTTGGTTGAATTTCTTTTAATATGACCTTAACTATGGGGTTTTAATACTTAATTTAAGAGTAATTCAAGCATTCTTCATTCTGGGAACAGTTACAATGCTTTCTGTTCTAAACATATGAATATATTCAAATTTAACTGGCTTCTTTATCACACCAGTGAGGATACAAACTAAAAGAAATGTTGTTTTTTCCAGTTCATGACCCAATGTATTTCCTCTTTGTGTGGAGATATGTTAAAAATAAAATCTCCAGACAAAAAACTTCTCAAGTTTGACCTACTGTATATGCCTGTGATACAATCCTGAATTGCTCAATGCAAATGCCTGAAGGCAGAAATTAAGGTTGTAAGGACAATTTTTGATAAAGTACCTTCTAATGCCCTAGTTTTCACTTCGTAATGGTAAAGGTAGGATTTTTGTAAAATTCTATAAATGTAATCTGTATTGTTGTTTTCTTATTTTGAAGGTAACTAGCTATCAGTGGGGAAAAATGTGAGAGATGTAAAGGAAATACTGTGTTTTCAAAAGAAATATTAATTTCTTAATAATTATAAATGTAATATCTTGCTGGCTTTAGATCATATCATGCTTCAGTAATAAAATCTCAGAATATACACAAAAGGGAGATAGAAAAAAGACAAGTAGGCTATAAAGCTCTTGGAAATTTATTAGATAATATCAAGGCTAAAGCTGTCTAAACATAAATTAATCTTATAATAATATTTATTTAATTTGTTGTAAGGAATTTCAAATTCAGGATTAGTCTTTTTTATTTGTATGTGTTAAATTTTTGGTATAACGCTCAGGCTTTCATGTATACAATTTAATAGTGCCCCAGGCAAACAGAAGGTGATTACTGTGTTATTCAGTAATTTGTGAAATAGAAACTGTAGTTAAGACGTTAAAACTTTTCATGACAAAGTTGATGCCAACAGCAGTCCGAACCACAAACCATTGCTAGAACTTCCGAACAGAACATCTAAATTCCATACTGATGGGTTGCCTGCAAAGCGAGCCTGTTGCTTCAAACCTGAATATCACTTTCAACAATATTTTGCCACCTCTTCATTTCAGCAGATTCTTCTCCAACATTCTCGATCTGCTACATGCAGAGTAAGTTTATACTTTTCTGGCAGAATAAGTCAAACAATTTTCTGGGGGAAAATTCCAGATAACCTTATTTTTTCTTCTGTCTTCATGTAAAATGACTATCTCTGTAGTCTGAAAAAAACCCACCAAAAAAAACCAAAACGAAAACCAAACCAAGACAAACAAACAAAAAAAAAAACCACCCAGCACCCAGTCACCACCATTCATTTTGTTGTGGTATTCCAATTAACTTTTGGGTTTTAAGTGTAAATTTTAGGTTTATTAGCTTTCCCAATGCTATATTTCCAAGCACAACTAATAGAAATAAATACACAGGTTGGGGACTGTATAGGAGGTGAATTTTGGTAGCAGCACTGGTCTCCTTTGGATAGGTAAACTGGCTATAGTCTCTCCAGCATGGCAAATGTAGCCCCGTGCCACAAAGAGGGTCCTCTCCTTTGTTAACAGACCTTTATTTGCTCCAAGGGGCTTTCTGCATCCATGCAGATTAGACGAAATAACTGTTCCGACATTTGCAAGGTTCAGACATCAATTTAAAATCAGTTAAAATGAAGATACATGGAGTTTCAGTTAATCATCTGGGACATTGTGTGTTCAGTTTGAAAGTGAAACTTAACCTATTTCACTGATTGCTATGTTGTTTTGAGGTAATACTCTCTCAGGGTCATTCTAAACTCATTTCAGGTTCATTGGGACTTCCTGCAAATTCATCAGATTTTTCAGCAAACCAATCCAGAATACCATGTTGTAATAAAAAATGAAATACACATTTTTCCTGGGTTTGGCCTTTGCTTGAACATTGTTCATAACTCTGCTATGGGCTGACAGATTTGTATTTCCTTCTTCTAAGATTTATTTAACTAATCTTCAGTCACCTCTGTCTTCACATAATGACCATGTACACCATGTTTTATGTGACTTATCTATACAGTTCCTTTAATTCTAGCAGGAATCTTTTAACTCATATTTTGCAATGTCTTCAAAGCAGTCTGCAAAAAAACCTCTAGTAGAATCCCAGCTACCTAGAGACGTTGCTGTGTAGCCTGAATAATAGTCTAATGACTATCAAAAAAGGCAGATTTGGCCATTTGTATTAAATACTTCTTGAACATAATGAAGTAATCTTTGTTTCCATTTCTTGAGAAGGATTTAGAAAAATATTATTTTAAGTGAGTTAATGGAACTTCCCATTTTCTTACTTCTTATTGGAAAAATCCATACAGGAACCAGTGGGGGTTTTCATATTACTGAATTTTGAGGCAGGCCAATTGGCTTTTGCATTAACTCTCTATATGATAAAGGGGAAAGAGAGGGAGAATTTTCTTGAGAAGCATTATTTAGTCCACCTAACTGACAATCTTGTTTTGAGTTGCTTTTTTTGAGAATCTTCTCTGTTTCCATTTATTCCAAAATTAGTATAGAGAAATAAGGCATAAAAAACTAGGTGTTTAAGGTTGTGATGTGAGTACCCCTCCTACTTCTCTCTTTCCAGTCAAAGGATCTACAATGCTGTGTTTGAATATAATGTTAACATATCTGATGTGTATCAAGAATTTCCAACTAAGAAATCTCTGCCAAGACCTGACAAAACGTAGTTAAGCTGATGTGTTCTTCAAGGAAAAGTAGTTGTAGTTGTGCTTATCCTCATCTGGAAAATGGCCCCTTTGAAATTCCATCTCTCCCATTTCAATTGTACATTATCATTTATCATTTCTATTTGTACAATCAAATCAATTATCTTGGGGTGAATATTTGGAGGAGTCTTTATAATCAGTAGTGTTTTAAAGAATATGTGTGTCAAGGAAATGGTAATGATGCATTTGTACTAAACAATTGTGGGGTTTGGGGTTTTTTTAATTTAATTGTCATAATATGATGTATATTAAATATTAATATAAAAGGTTCTCCCAGCAGGAAGTCAATGCTCAGTGAATTGACTACACAAAAAAATATTTTTCCCAAAGAGGAGATTTTTCTGCCTATTATCCAATGTACTGTCATGACAAATTAAGCAACAGAGCTTTCTTAATTTAAGCTCATTCTTTCTAAGTAATACTATTTCAGATTTAGCTACTGTATGTTCTATTCCTTAGGAAATAACACAAGATCGGGATCGATCACGACTGGATTCAATGGTGCTGTTAATTATGAAACTGGACCAGCTTGATCAGGATATTGAAAACGCTCTCAGTGCAGGCTCTTCCCCATCCAGCACCCCAACATACAAACGGAGGCATATACCTGTAAGCCAGTTTGCTTAGTATTTCTCATTATTCTAAGAAGAATCTGGTTTTCTTCTTTTTTTTTTTTTCTTCAGTCATCATATTTATCAGCTCCTTGATTTCAAAACTAAAGCTCTGTTTGTAAAGTAAAGAATCTGGTTTTTTTGTGTGTGTATATATATATATATATGTTCTGAATGCAGTAATAGTGGCATCCATTATTTCCTTTTAGCATCTTTTCATAAAGAGCTCCCAGAGGAAAGAAAGGGAGATCAACAAGGTTCAGAAAGTGTCTGGCTGTCTCATTATCACTTACTGTAAATGTGGAGTCAGCACAGAGTCAGGATAACACCAGTCTCAGAGCATATGTGTATGTGTCATTTGAAATTAAATAGTTAGAACTGAAAGTAAGTCTGAGCTACAGGTCCCATTTTACTGCTAGTGGGAGAGTCCATGAATTCTTTGGCAGAGACACACTTATGAAATCCTCTGTCATTAGAAATAATATTCTGGGCAGAGCTTTAATTATTTATATTTCTTTAATTATTTAATTTATTTAAATTAGATAATTCCTTGCTTAAAATAGTCTGAAGGGAGACTGGACAGCTTACAGACATGATTGATTAGTTCTTTTTTCCTGAAAAATGTTTACACATGTAACTGTGAAGTACATGAAATGCCTGACCCAAGGTGTTCTCATGCAGGCTTCCCGTTAATGTCCCCCACACGTGCTGCAGCTGTTTTTCAATTCAAGAAAGCTGAGAAATGTGCCCCAAGATCTCCAGGCTAAGAGTCAGGTCATTTGTTTTTGTTTGTGGTATTTTCTTTTAAATAATGAGGGGGTTCTCCTATTAAAGCCAGACTCCATTATTGCTGTATAGTCAAGTGCGAGGTCTGTAGGTGAGAAAAACTGTATTTAAGCTTCTGTGGGTTTGGCCAGCTGGAGATTATGTAATATGTCATTTTTAAAGGACATAATAACACTTTTAACAATTAAATATTTTCCCCTGGATATCAGTGTTCTCGCAGTACCTCCTTGAGCACTGATGGGAAAGGAAGGCTGATACAGGTTTCCTGTATCTTGCCAATGAGTGCCAGTATTTTAGCTGACTTCTCAGAGCAATAAAAGGAGTTGGGACAATCTATATAAGTAAGCCTGCTTCATAATCAGAGGTGATACATGTTTCTATGCTGCAAAGCAACCCTTCAGAAAGACAGCTTGCATCAAACATGGCACATGTGCTATTCATATACACTTGTTTTCTAGGAATTTTTGAGCCTTTGAATATTACAACTCAGAAGATCAAAAGATTTGATTTTCAGGACATGTGTGCATTGTGTTCAGTCTCATATTGATTTTATAGTAAAAAGTATTTGAATCATAGAATGGTTTGGGTTGGAAAGGACCTTAAAGACCATCCAGTTCCAACCCCCCTGCCATGGGCAGGGACACCTTCCACTAGACCAGGTTGCTCAAAGCCACATCCAGCCTGGCCTTGGACACTTCCAGGGATGGGGCATCCACAGCTTCTCTGGACAACCTGTTTCCGTGCCTCACCACCCTCTCCAGGAAGAATTTTGCCCTGATATCCAACCTAAAACTCCCCGCTTTCAATTTAACCCCGTTCCCCCTTGTCCTGACACTAAAGGCCCTTGTAAAATCTGCTGAAAAAACACGGGTATTGGGACAAGGAGCATGCTTCTGCACTGTGACAGCATGGCGCTGCTAAGTAGGGGCTTCTGAGAACAGCTGTACACAAGGTGACTTCTACAGAGGCATTGCCACAGCTCTGCTGCCTTCCCAGGGCTTCTCATTGCAGAGGACTCTCTGGCAGCATGGTCCTACCTAGAGTGCAGCTTTGTCTCTTGTTTCATAACCCTTCTCAGGAAACAGCATGCTTTTGTACGTGCTTGGTGTAGAGGCACCTGTCTAAGTAACTGCTTAAGTTTGGCAGACCAGAGACTTAGCTGAAATTAATGACTCAAAGAGTTGCCATTTCTTTCCAGCCCAGGAGCACAACCCTGAGATGTATCCGTATCCTGAGCTGTATCCAGAGCAGTGAGGCCAGCAGGTCAAGGGAGGGGATTCTCTCCCTCTACTCTGCTCTTGTGAGACCTCACCTGGAGTTCTGCATCCAGCTCTGGGGCCCCCAGCATCAGAAGTATATAGACCAGTTGGAGTGAGTCCAGAGGAGGCCACGAAGATGCTCCGCGGGCTGGAGCCCCTCTGCTATGGGGACAGGCTGAGAGAGTTGGGCTTGTTCAGCCTGGAGAAGGGAAGGCTCTGGGGAGACCTTATAGCACCTTCCAGTGCCTGAAGGGGCTACAAGGAAGCTGGGGGGGGCTTTTTACAAGGGTCTGTAGTGACAGGACAAGGGGTAACGGGTTTAAATTGAAAGTGGGGAGATTTAGATTAGATATTGGGAAGAAGTTCTTGTCTGAGAGGATGGTAAGGCACTGGTTGGTCATATAAGTTGCAGATGCCCCATCCCTGGAAGTGTTCAAGGTCAGGCTGGATGGGGCTTTGAGCAACTTGCTCTAGTGGAGGTTTGGAACTAGATGGTCTTTAAGGTCCCTTCCAACCCGAACCATTCTGTGATTCTATGTCTCTGCCCCATCTTTCACCTATTCTAAGAACTTGGTATTAGGATACTGAAGCTTTGTCTGTATGGAGTTGGCCAGGGTTAATAGTTCAGGGTTTTTTCTGTGTACCGTGTAACTGTATGCACACCAGCTGCATCTTGGGTAATAATCCTGACAGCGTAGGGCTGGTTCTACACATAGCCAGCTCTCTGCCAGATACGTGTCACAATTTATCTGCAAGCAGTATAATCCCCTGCCTTCACTCTGCACAGTAAATCAAGCACGCGCGATATTTTTACTTCCTCAAAAATAAAACACTCTGTATTTCTTCTTTTTATTCTCAAAAAAGGAATGTAATCAGTGTCATTAAAAATAAGGGCATTTTAACCAGAAATAGCATCTGGCTGATAAGTGTCTGCTGATTCCAAAAAAACTAGGGAGCTGTACCTCTGAATTGTATAAACTGCTGGATGGTGATGTCATTTCAGCTGTGTAATGGTTTACAGATGTTCACTGAGCCTGCAAAGCTGCCGGAGACAGAAGGTGGGAGCACACAGGAAATACTGAACATCAGAGAAAAATGTCAGACTTCTGCAGCCCCAAACTGATTTTTCTTACCTCGCATTCTAACATTTAGGGGAATTATGGCTTTGATGTTAGTGGTGATTTATAATTTCAGAACAGCAGCTAATGCAAACCACCACATTGAAGAGGACAGCAAGTGAATGTGTAGTTAGTGGGAAAGAATAAGGGGAATTACTCTTACACAGAGAATTAAACATATATATTTTGGTGAGCCTGTGTCAATAGTTGCATTATTTAGAATAACTATAATTTTATTTCATATTCACATTTACTCTAGACACTTGCAAACTTTTTTTTTTTACAGGATGTTGAATCTGGTTCTGAAAGTGGAGTGGATGTTGCTTCAGTAAGTCACTCACAAACAAACTTGTCTCCTAACGTCCATGGTCCTGACCTCGCATCTCCTTGTTCGGTAGCCATCTCTGGAGCTAAACCAAAGGCTGGGGTGAGTACAAAGGTTATATTTCCTTAATTTTACCCATGATATCAGGTTGGAAGTGAAATAAAGATATTTTATACTATTCATTTCATGGCTTGTACAGCAGTATGTGTATGACTGAAAAAAAAGGACTAGTAATGAAGGTTGTCTCAAGGATGTCATTTGATTGGTAAATACTAGAGGTTTCACATTTAGAAACACACTATTATCACATGATGACTATGATTAACTACAGTTTTAGGTGAGAAAAATAAATTAAAGGGTCTATTCCATTTTACTTTGTAAGATATGGTTTTGTGATGTGGTATCACTTGGGACATTTCCTGAATCTCATAGAGGATGTAGCCAGAGAAAAAGATAGTTGAATCATGTAGGCTGGTTTATGATGCCCAAACCTAGTCACCCTTGTCCTCTTGAGTGGCTGAACTGTTGTGTAGCACGGATATGTTACCATACTGAAGGAAGAATGTGATCCTAAGGACAAATTTGGCAAGCAGTTTCATATGCTGAGGGTTGGAGGGAAGCCCCAGCTGAAAAACCCTTTTCTGCAGGTGCCAGTGCACACTAAGGGGTGAGGAAGGTCAGGTCTGAGAGTTCAGATACAGCAAGGAGCCTCCTGTACCCATTCATAGGTACATACAGCTATCAGGAGCATGTTCCCTTCTTTTGCCATTGTCCATCTACTGAAGAATCCTTCTTCATAATGCTTCATCCATCAGCATGTCCAGAAAAGCTTGGATATCCTAGAAACTCCTGACACACTTTCTGTCCCCTGTTGCACTTGTTGTTTCCACTCCCTCAAGAAGCGGAGAAATCTAGGCTTTTCTAAGCCTCACCCAGGCTGAAAAGTCTTACCATAACTCCTGCTCCATCTGTCCATAAATTCAACCACTGCTGCTAACCAGACCAGCAGAAAATCTGGAATGAAATATTAAAACATAAAGTGTGGTTAGCATAAATATATATGTTTATAACAAGTTTATAAAAAGTAAAATAGAGGCCAACTGTCATTTACTGCCCTGCAATAATAGCAAGTTAACTAATGCCTTCGATTGAAGCAGTAACAAAAGTTCTAATAAACATTTATATTTAGGATTGTTCATTTGTACAGGAATAAATTCACTTGTAATTTATCATCAGTCCATAACTATAGCAAACAGAGAGCTCTGCAGTGTGTCATTGCATACAGCGCAGCACAAGTTCTCAAATAACTACATATGTTGTGCTAGAAGGTGGTATTCCATTTTGCCAGATCCTGAGAAGAGCACAGACACTCTCTAAGGTATTAAACATCCCTTTTAAATTTAGGTTTTTGTACTGATATTTGGGGAACTCTTAACAGCTGGCTTTGCAGAAGTGTGGGTCACTTCCTTTAGGGTTAGCTATTGCGTGTTAATTCACCTTTAATATGTATTTATGTGACTTCTGCTGTGATGGATCTGTCATGCTGAACATACCTGAGAATGCTGTTTTATTACACAGTTTCTAATATATATGATTTTGGAGAGATTTTTAAATTTTTTTTATTTTGTAGAATAATTGTGAATATTCAAAACCGCTCTGCTGATGTGTAGGTTGTGGACCTACAATCCACAGTCCCCTTTTGCCATACTTTTTGATAAATTAATTTAAATTTCCTCCAAATTCGACTCTCTCTCCTTAAGTTTGGCATGCTGCAGCTTACCACAGTATAGTGGGATTTGGGGACGGGCTCCTTGTAGTAAGTATGTTTGGACAAAGACCGTATTTTCATTTTTATCACAGTATGTTTGATAAGTACAAAAATGTGGATCATTTTTGCTCAAGTGCAGAGAAGTCTTGCAAACTGGGAAAAACAGGTTGCTCTCAGATGTGGTCTGTTCCCTTTGGCTTTGGGCTTTCAGATTGCTTTGACCGTACACCCTTCTGATACAGAAACTGAGTGCACATGTTCGTTTGCTGTAGCTTCAACTGTTACAAACTTCAGCCGCCTCCCTACCTGCAGTCAAGCTTTGTTTGAAAGCGCAAGTTTTCTTGGGACACACTAGGAGAAAATAACCCTTAGTTCTCACCCCTGTGTATCCTTACACCTGCTGTTCATCTGGTCTGAATGACTAGTTAGTCTGCTGCTAAGTGCTTGAGTGCCATCCCATACCAGGAATAGAGAAGTTCGCATATCCTTCTCATCATATTTAGCGTTAGCCTCTACTCAGCATGTATTTTTGAAAAGGGTATATTGAGTGGCATCTCCTTGAATCACTGCCCAGGAAAGACATCAGGGATGTCTCTGTACAGTTGATTTCCATGTAGAGATCACTCATAAAGATCCTCAAAATGTGGGGGTTTTTTTATCTGTAAGGAAGACTCTTGCCATAGTTTCATATTTTTTGCCAGAGTAACTGGTGTAGGAGTAGGTTATTCTGCACTAGAAACTCAGCAGGTTACTTTTTAATGGTAGTGGACCGTTTCAAAGATTTCAATTCCTTTTTGGTGTTGCAGCTGCAGATCTTCAAGGACTCCAGATGCTTAATCTCCAAGGACAACTTATTTTGTTGTGTTTATTAATAATATGTAAACAAGAGCACAACTGCAATTAGTTACATTATGGAATGATATGTGGTATTTTTAAACAAACTATAGCAAACTGTTGACTGCATCACAAGCAAACTGGACAATTTAAACAAGGCTTCATGTGCAGACTTGGAGGGGTGGGAATAATAAGGCAGGGAGGTATGGGTTCAAATCTAGTCAAACAAAGGACTTGGAAAAGATATTAATGACACAAGATCTTAACTTACAGACAGGAAATTTGTGTATAGACAAACTATGTCAATTCATGTTAATTCAGCTTTATATGGATGTAAAACAACATAAAATTTCTAACAATGTCATAAAGTGGTGGAATATCCATAAGCAAAAAATGGTTTGATAATCCTAGTGGGAATGATTCACTCATCAGTTTATGGAAAAGCAGGACATTTTAAATTTTCATGGACAGATTTTAGGAAATGTTAAACAAGCTTTCTAGTAGCCGAAGTATTCAAAATTGTATTTAAAATTCAGTATCAATTATAAATTTGTTTGCAAATTAGTAGTAGATATTCTTTTAAAGATGACTGGGTGTGGGTGTGTGTATTTACATATAAAAGTTATTTATCATTTCATTAAAATTCGCTTATAGATAGTCAAATCCATTCTTGTCTGTGTGAATGCCAGTGTCTAGTACACAAATATACAGACATACATGTGCATGCATATGCACACAGACTACTCCTTTCTGAATACAGGCATGACAAGGAAGAACAGGATTCTCCCCAGAGCATTATAGAAAGGTATTTCTACAGAAAGGTTTTCCTATGATTCTGCAGTGTGGAACATGAAAGCCTTTGATATCCCGATGTACATGGTATTTTGGGCTTGTGACAAGCATAAAGTTGAATAACCTTCTTCCTAAATTTAGGAATTTCCCACCTTTCTATTTCATGGTCAGGGTAAAAGACCATAATGCGATCAAGCGTGTTTGGTCCACAGCACAACTACTAATTCAAAATATATGTGTTTGGCAAGGTGCACAATTGGATAATCCTTGTGAAATAAGGATTTACATGATTGAACTGGTACACTTTCCACATAATTTAGGGTTGGCTGGTAAGAAATGCTTGTGACATCTTTATATTGCTTATGTTTATAGAGCAAAGAAAGTTCATGCTTCTATATTTAGCACATCAAATAGACAATAATTTTTGAATATTAACACTCAAATATATACAGTTGGCAAACTTGAATCACATGGGAGTTGAAATCAGCTTAAAAAAATATGAAAACAACAGGCTTTTTCCCCAGTGGTCATGAGAAACACTGGAAAATAGGAGTGTCTGGTCTGGATTTGGAAAGCATGGTATGTAAATATCCTATATGTCGTTGCCTTCTACAAACTAATGCCACACATCTGGACATTTATAATATTGTTCACCAGTAAAGACCAGAAACTATTTATTTTTAAATTTGGCTGGATTACTATAAAAACAATGTGTGGCTAAAGAATTTTAAATGTATTTTAATAACAAAAGATAAGTTACAAGACTTCTCCAACACCCAGCTAAAAGCTAACTAGTTAAGGAAAGGTGAATTATCAGACTTTTTTTTCCTAAACTTAAAAAATTTGCTATAGGACAATAGCAGCTAAGGCCTAAAAGTTGTGGCCAAATTTTTGTCCTTGAACATCTGTTCTGCAAAGCCTATGTATTTTCTGTTCAGGTGAAAAAAAACATCCCTGATCATTTTCGGCTGCTTTTCTTGGCAGTCCTACCCCTCTTGCTTCAACAGTGTCCATTTTAGCCTCAATCATGTATGCAAAGGTAATCAGAAATCTATTATCACCAAAATAGCTGGTATCTAGAAGAAGATTGGTTTTCATATTAGCTGTAATGATATGTTTAAAATGCATTTATTTCTCAAAGTGATTTTAGGCACCAATTATGCCTGTAAGTACCAAATGAGCTAGTCTGGCTACAAGCTAGAATGGGATTCAGGTGCAGCTACTGATTTCAGTGAAGCCATGGATGAGCTCAGGTCTCCACTTTCACAAATCTTGTTACTGGATTGTGACAAAAGGTTTTGTTACAGCAGTTTAGCAAACTGTCCACATGTATGGACTACAGTAATTTAGCCTTTTACTTACAGTTTTGATTCATATTTTTCTTTTAAATTTCAGCTGTTTAGAGACAGGCAAATCATTCTGTGAAGAATAATTTACAGATTTGTAGATTAACAGAGTCCAAGTTTCTTGCTACTTTACAGCACTGGCTTTGAACTTATGAAATGAAGCTAAAATTTATGGTAAGTGCAAGGAAATCTCTATTTCAGAATTAAATATTCATAAAGAATTATCAGGGCAGCAGCTATTTGAAATGTTTACATTTCCCACTGTGCTATGTTTCATAGTAAATTCAGTGAACTATGAGGTATGCAAAACACACACAGAATATGTCAATGAATTTGTGCAGACAAATTTTTCACAGTGGCTC